CCCCATTCCAACATCTCCAGCCCCACCTCTGCAGAGTTAAAGCATGAAAAGGTTAAGTTCCACATGTGAAAATTCCAGGGCCAACCTTGCCTGGATCTATTTGCAGATGCATCTTCAAACTTCCACTCCTACACTTGGTTTTTCCTCTCTGGCTTTCATCAGCTTTACTACTTGTAGTTCACACTCCTGTCACAAAACTGTTGCTTAACTTACACACAGACATAAAATAAAGTTTGAAAAGATCCCGTCTTTCATCCAGCAGGGGTAATGATTCCCTTTGAAAATGTTTGAGGCTGCCTCAAACAGGGTAAAGGATTTTGTTTTGTATTTTGACACGTGCTTCTAAAACACCAAAAGTTGCTGTCCCTGAACCAATGCAGAGCTGGAGACCCAACAAGCCTGTGGAGAAACAACCTGGGAGGGAATTTCAGTGTCAGGCAAAGATGTGCAATAACCTGGGACAAAAAATATCAGGAAAAAGATCAACCCATCAGCTAACAAATGCAGGAATGCAAATTAATTCCCATAAGGAATTATGTGATCAGTGATGAGTGAATTTTGCAGTGGGTGTGACCACCTCAGTGCCAAACTTAGACTCCTTTTTCCTCCTAAATGGGAAAGGAATTTGTGTTTGGAAGTAGGAAATTCTGAATGCAATTGTGCTGCCACCACCATCACCCTCACAAGCTCCCTCAGGGACACAGTAAATTGTGATTATTCCCTCAGACTCAGTGAGAGAATTCTTATCTGCAATGACAGCTTTTGGTGCAGGGTTGCAGAGGGGAGCTCCTGCTTGTGGTGTCAGAGCAGGGGGAAGAGGAGAAACTCTTTATTTACTGGGCTGCCAAGGCTACATTCAAGGAGCAAGAGATGCTCTTTATGGCCTCTGGGTCCAGTGGAAACGATGGAGATCATAGAATCACAGGATCATTGAGGTTGTCATGGATCTCTGTAGGTTACCTTGTCCAACCCCCTGCTCAAGCTGGGCCACCTGCAGCAGCTGATCAGTGATGAGTGAAGCTTACTCATGGCTGGAAAAAATCACTGTAATTTCAGCCAGCACGGATCACAATGGAAACAAACCTCCATCAGTAACAGCCCTAATTTTTATTAATAGCAAGAGCTGTGCTGGACCTCAGCTTCACAAAGAAAAATGAGCAAGAAGGTGAAAACAGGACATTCTCTACAGCCCTGCAGGGCCTCTGTGCTACAGGCACTCAGTAAATATCATCCAGGTGCCAGTCACATTTCTACCCACATTTCCAACAACAGGGCCAGGTTTTATGTTCAGTTCTGCTGCTTTCCTACTGAAAAGTCACAGCACTCCTTCCAAGCATTAGCTCACATTCCCATCTTGTGAGGGGAATCAGGAGGGACAAAAGGATCTTATGGCATACAGCCCTCTCAGAGTAAGAAAAAGAATGGATTTCTAGTGGTGACACTGAAGTGGCACGACTGGAAATGTCAAGTGTGTTTTACTCACTGATGGCTATAAAGATGCACTCAGAGCTCCATGAAATCCAGTTGTTGTTTGCATGTTCCAAACGTGGTCATTTTCCAGCCAAAGTTGTTACAACTTCAGTTCCTGGTTGTGTAATCACCTGCCTAATACTGCAAGTGCAGAGAAGCCTCTTTGTTCTTCCAATTCAAAGGATTTTGTTTGCCCTGGTTATCTCTGCACATCCAGTCCCTGTCTCCCACAGCTCAGGCAGAAGGGGCTGACATCTCTCTCAGTCCCTGGGGAAGCTGTCCCATCAGCTTGGTCCTTGAAAAGCCACTGATGACCCTGTGAGGTGTTCCCCATGCCAAATCCTAATCATTCTGAGGAAAGCAGTGCCTTCTTCCATGTTCTTATGAGGTCTTCTCATAGTCTTAATTGAGACTGTGGGCATAATCCAAATGCAAGTCATAACCATAACAATTTAATTAGAATTATTAAATCCAAAGAGCCAGAAGCACTTAATTAAATAAACAGCTTGGTTTGTGAGTAGAGACATACTTCAGATCACTGCAGTCATGAAATTCTCGCTGTGCAAAATTATGAGTTGCTGTTTGATAACAATCAATAGAAGAGACCATTGAATAAATACCTTCTGACTTGTTTTCCAAACCATCATATTGGCCCCAGTAGTTTGCCCGACAGATATAAATAATGATGCAATTGAGTTTCCAGTCTCGCTGTTATTGGTATCTAAATAATAAACCTGACATAACTAAATAACCCCTGACATAACTAGACAAAAAAGGAGGCAGGTAGTCTGTCAAATCTCACAGGTCATTGGCACTGTAACCTCGTGCAGGGCTGGGGCTCCCAGGGCTCCTGTCCTTGTCACTTGTGTTCCCAGCACGGCCTTTTGGTCTGAGCTTTGGAGAAATACATGGACACGGAGCAGATGGATGTGTCTCACAGAGACTGCACTGCTGCACAGGGCCAAGGAGTGAAAATATCCTAAATATGGACTCACAGAATAGCCTGACCTGGGAGGGACCCACAAGGATCATCAAAGTCCTCTTCTGGCCCTGCTCAGAGCAGCTCCCAGAATCCCACCCTCTGCCCAAGGGGGTTGACCAAATGCTTTGTGAACCCAATACACGGAAAATGAGAGGGACAGAAGCTACAGAAAAATTCCATCATTCATTTACAAATTATTACTAGAGATGAGAGGCTAGGTAGGAATCCAAAGCACATATTATAGACAGGGCATTGCAAATCTCTTACAGGTCTCAGTCGGATTCGTGGCTTTGGTTATTCCTCCCCTGAGGTAAAACCATCCCCATTCACCTGCAGCAGAACCAGAACTTCCTTCTTGTGGCTGGACTTAATTCTGAGCCCTTCAGAAACGTGCAGGTGACAAGGAGCCAAATGATCCTCTTCCCTGGCCTGGAACATTTTCACTTTGGGATGAGGAAACATGGCACAAGGCACAGAATTTCCATCTGCTGCTCTCTGGCCCCACAATGTCCTTTCTGCCTTTACCCTTCTGTGTGAGCTGGGCTTCCCCAAATGCCCCCCACCCTTGCGTGTCTGTGGATATCCATAACACATATAAAAGCCACACAAAGCCAAAATCCCTGGAGGAAATCTTCCTGGAGCCTCCTTCCCAGCCATTCATGCTGCCAGCAGCAGCTGGCATCCCTCTGCCACTGTGTGTCCTGGTACAGAGCTCACCTTGCTCATCCAGCCCCAAACCCTGCACAAATCCTGCCCTTTTCCCACCTCTCTGGGGTTTTTGGAGCAACCCATCACTGCAGGGAACTGCCAGAGAAGCTCAGCCTGCCTGTGGCTCTGCTGTGGGCTGGGAGATTTTCACCCTCTTTCCCAGTGAAATTCCATTGACTCCCAGAGTTTGGTAAAATCCCTGCCCACGGTGAAATTCGGGGACAGGATGGACAGGCATCTGTGGCACTGCCACAAAGAGTGGGCAGATGAAGAGCTTCACAGCCCTTTAAAAAGGCTGATTGCAACAAGAATTATCCCAAGCCCAGTGATTTCAGTTCTGCAGGGCTTTGGGCTCACTCAGTTGGAATTTAACTGTATGATTTGTCAGCCCTGGCTTGGTAGGAACTTTGAACTCTGCTCTTTGGTGTCAATCTGCGTTGTTTTCTTCCTTTGAAAGAAGAAATGTGTCCTGTATGAAATGTCTTAGCCTGGTAATAAATTTTTGAGTGTTTTCTGCAAAGAAAACAAGCAATTGTCTGCATATGCCATGCCCAGCTCTTCATGTGCTTCTCCCTGTGCAGTCATACACCAGCACAGAATAAAAGAGGGAATAGAAGGGTTTGCTGTATCTTCATAAAATGTACAGGAGAATTTAGAGAGAAGCAAATCCACTTCCTCAGGATTAAGACTCACATTTCATTATCTGCTTTGTGCCCTGCTTCTGCCAGGTGCTGACTGAGGTAAACTTTGTCCAACTCAGTTCAAGTTCAGAAGGAACCAAAAAAATGCAACGTTTCCCTGCAGTTTCTGTGATATTTTCCAGTGTAATTATAATCTCTATCAAGGTTTTAGACAGGAGAACAAAGCTGTGGAAACTCAGTTGGAACTTTCTGTCTGGTCTGGCTGCCCTGTGTTGTGAGGCTCATGGCAAAAAAAGCCTCTTTGCCACAGCATAGGAAGTTTGCTATAACCAGGAAAAAAAAATATCCAAGAGCAACAATATTTATTTTCCACACTCCATTAGTAGCCCAGAAGCAATTCAAGCATGTTACTAGAAACCGAACCCAGCTAATTAAAAATAATGTTCCAAAGCTCCACTGATGTGTTTTGCATCTGGAGCTGGGTTCTGCAAATAAACATACACAAAACCAAGGACAAATCACAATAAATCTAAGCAGACAGGTACAAGCAAATTGGTCTGTGGAAGTGACATGTCTCTCTGCTTAAATGTCTACCACAAATCCCAAGGAGATGTGGTAGGATTTAATCTAATTGGGTTTGCCACTTCCCTGCAGCTTAATGTGAGAATAACAGCAATTATATATGACTGTACTTAGCTCAGTACCAAAAATCCATTTATTAGGCTATTAAAGCTATAGAAAGCTGGGGTTTGAGATCATTTGGGTATGCTGGTTACACACTTGGCCTGCTAGTTGTTTTGTGGTTACAGTTTCCAAATTGCCACTGATGAGGTGGTGCTAGAAAAGCAGATGCAGTTAAGCACTTCAGTGAATGGCTTAGAAAGGTTTTCTTCTCACTTCAGGATCCATAATGGCACCTCAGAAGTTGGCTCAGTGCTCTGCAAATCTCAAAACATTCAGCAGGAGACTGAGAAACCAAGAAGCTGCTGAGGTTCAGAAATCTGTTGATCATAAAGCAAAGCACCTTTGCATGTGTGGGGCCCCACAGAGTTGGCACAGCACGGCACAGAGATGCAAAAAGAATTATGTTTAAGGCCAGCATTACAGGCCAACAGAGAGGAGAGCCTCTAGCTTTTTAGCATTTGAGAGGGTGCAATCAGCAAGAAATGGAAGAAAAGCCATTGGACCATTCTAAAAAAATGTAGTCTTGTCACTCTCCTGCGTGTTCAGTCCAGGGAAGCAGGTGATGGATGAGCTCCCCATGGAGCTCAGCACAAGGAAGCTGCACAGCCCTGTCCTCTAAGCCTTTGTCAGCTCACACACCATCATAAAACCCTTCTTGCCAAACAGATGTTTGCAAATGAGGCTGTAAACCCTCACCATTTCATTTTTTTTCTTAAACCACGGTGAGTGCTGGAATAAAGGTGGATATTTTTTGAAGTCTGAGTTCTCCAGTGTTCACCCAGTGGGGGCAAACCCTTAACAAATGGTTCCTTAAGCTCCCTCAGGCTCCAGTGAGGGCCTGCAGTGTGGGAGGATTCCAGGGCTCTCTGTGACCTGTCAGACACCACCCACGAGCTGTTTGGGCAGTATTCAACCTGCAGATTTGTTTTCAAAGCCAGCTTTACAACATGAGATCCTCACATTCAGCACCTGGAATTCCAAAGGTTTGGTTTTGCTCCCAACAGAGAGACACTGGAGACAGAGGCTGTGAATGTCTCATTTTCCATCCAGAAACTTCCCAGTCTAACTCTCCTGGCAGCTGAGATGTTGATAACCTTGCACAGCAGTCTGGCTTACACATAATTTTAAAGAGATTTCTCTTTCCAACTCAACTCTGATCCAAACAGACAGCTATCACAAATTAATCCAATTCCAATGAGCTCTGCTTGAATCAGACACCCCACTAATTACCTGCTGGAATTCAAAGAATGTTAGTTAAGGTCCCTGTCCAGCTCCTGCAAAATACTTCTCTGGGAAGTGGATAAATTTAAACCTAGTTATGGGCATTGTTTTCTGGTAAAAGAACAGTAAACTGGATTGCTTAACAAAATCATCATCCTCATTGCTCTCATTGCAGCACCACAAACATGGGTGACAACCTCTCTCCAAAGGTGGAGGCATCCCGAACCAGTCTGGTTTTCTGCTGCATTCTAGCCTTAGGATTACTTTAAAAGGTTATAATTAACATAATTACCCTGAGTGATATCTGAAATGATTGCACAGTTCAAGTGAGCAGCTTTAGGACTGACTGTGGATTTGAAGTCCCTTTTTGTCCCCACACACCCTGACCCCTGTCGTCACTTTTACAGGGATGGCAGTGGCATTAAGCACTTCAGTGGGGCAGGCAAGGCTGTGTTCCCTAAGGAAGGTCCCTGTCTGCTCTGAGGGAAAGGCTCCAGGTGAAGTAGAAATGCTCCCAAATCAGTACAAAGGGCTGCTGAGGGCCTGGCTCTGAGGATGGGTGGGAAACACAGGAGAAAACTCCCACTCTCCTGGAAAAAAGCTGGTAAAATCCTATGGGAAACACAGACTCTTGTGAGATCTTTCCTCACCTGGGTCCCCAAGAAGCAGTGAAGAGGAGCACACAGATGTCTCTTTTATGGTAGCAGAGCCCCTGGATTCCCCAAGTTCAAACACCTGAATGTGGTGGGTGCAGCTGCCCTGGACAAAAAGCAGTTTTGAGAATATTCACCTTGATCAGCCCAAGTCCTGTGAAGTCCTACACCTTCTGAGGAAACTCTTTAACCAGAAGTTATGTTAACAGGCTCATATTCTCCTGTGAGTAGGAGAGGGATGACCAATTGTACCTGAAATGGGGATGCACTGAAACACTTCTGACTCCTCAGAAGACACATCCTGCAGCATTCCATTTAGAGATGCAGGAATTATCAGGATGGGATCTCACATGGCTGCAGTTTATCACACCCCAGCAAATTCATTGCACCACACAACCTGATGGCACATGACAAAGTGTGACAACTGAGCTGTATCGCTCAGGAGAGATTGTCGAGATGTGCCGAATATTTTCTAAACTGCTATCAGAAAACATATGTTTCCAAGGGGTAATGATACAGTGGGACTGAATAACTCATAAAAATTATGAATGAAGTGTTCTCACCTTCATTTGACCTTTTTTATTTCTCCAGCAGACAGAGCTAAATGTGTGGCACACCAGAGTGCATCTGAAAGAAGAGACAGATGATAATAAGAAGCTGTTAAGAGCCGCTCACTCCGCTGGCTCTGTTAGTTCAGCTTGCTTGCACAGAAAGAATTTCCCTGCACGTGTGAACATGAGCACAGATCAATAAAGGGAAATATCCAGGCTGATCCTTTCTCAGCCTGAACTCCTCCAAACAAGATGCACACACAGCCCTTGTGGAAGGCTGGAGACAGGAGCTGTGTGTGAGGAACCACAGAAAAGGTGATGCTGTTCTCCCTGCACAGAACATCTCCAGAACCAGCTGGGAGCACTCGTTCCTCCCTTAGCTGATGTCACAAAGGTATCTGGAACATTTAACTCTCATTTTCCTGTCTCCCACACCTACAGCCAAGGTCTGCTTGGCTACTCACCTTGTCAGAGATCATAAGAGATCTAATTTGCCTTAAAAATATGACTGCTTGACATGTTTTTTAAAGTCAAAAGGAGAGTAATATATTTCAAATGTCAGGAAGGGAGCAATACCTGTGTGCCCTTGGAAACACATGCAGGGTGTAAAAATACAGTTTGGTCAAGCAAAAGCATCTCCTGTCCATAAGAAAGCAATGCAGATTGGCAGGAATGGTTCCAATGCAATCAGCCTGCTCTAGGACAGGAGGAGTGTCTCAGTTTAAGGATTCATAACCTGTCACCATCATTCCCCACTGGGAATGCTTGGTGGTGTAAATCCTTTGGGTGCTGTCTGTGCCTTTCCCTTCGATGTTATCTGGATCAGGCACTCACATGATGTGGTTTGTCCCAGGTAAAGCTCTCAATGCTATTTTCATTTATGTAAATGTATCCAAGCCCAGCCACAGGGAGTTATCTCCAGTGGTCACTGGGATTCCTGGCTTTGTTGTGCCCATGGCATTCTCCTCACTTTGCCACAAAGGCCCAGGGAGTTTTTCAGGGCATGGATTTTCTGAGGCATTTAACAGTCTCCTTGTCAGCCTCTGCATCACCTGCCTCAGTCTCCTGCCAAGGCCTGGGGCACAATGGCCACGAGGAATGTGCAGCATTTTGTCACTGAGGAAAGGAGGTCTCACACGCTCTGTTTATCCCAACAGATGCTGCTGTGAAGGCTCAAAGGTGATTTTCACAAGGCTGCAAATTCCCTCACAGCTCAGCCTGTGGTCTCCAGACACAGCCAGGGCTATGCACAAACCCTTGGAAAGGGTTTGTGTCCACACAGAGGAAATGATGAGGAGTTACATTTGGTGGGGTACCCAGAGCAGGCACCCCAGGAACGGGGCTGGGTGCGGTGGGAGAGCTGAGTGAGAGCTGAGCTGGGTACACCCGGATCCCTTCGCTGCCTGGCTTGGTCTTTGCCCTCTGGAAGCAGCAGGGAGGAGGCAGCAAACAGCATCAGGGACACCCATCAACTAATTGAAGCCATGCACAGGAAATACACTGCACAGGTGCTAAACCACTGCAGATGTTAGAAAGGCACGAGGTAAAAAGGAGGGGATTGCAAAGCGAGCATCAAACACAAAGGAAGTTGTAATGAGAGCAGGAGCGTGAAGAGTGACAATTCAGCACGGAAAGATAAAGATGGAACAAGAATGGGATCAAGAGAGAGCGCACAGACAGGATGGGGAGGAAGAAAAATTTGAAATGGAAACGATGAAGATGGAATATGATTTCCAGAGGGAAAGAATAAGGGTGAATGAGGGTCCTACTGGGTCAGCCCATGCATATTTAGTCAGTTATAATAAGGTAAAATTGCTTCCTCATTACAAAGAAGGGAATGATGTTGATATGTTTTTACAGTCTTTTAAAAAACTGTACAGAACTTATAATTGGTGAGGGGAGGCATGGGCAGCACAGTTCAGCCCCTGTGCCATGGGAAAGCCCTGGAGGCCTGTGCCAGGCTGGTTGATAATGACTGCCCTGACTGTCAAATTGTGCACGGAGCCTTCCTGAGAAGGTGTGGGCTTGACCCCAGAGACCTGCAGGGTTACACTTGGGTCTCCAAGGAAAGGATCTGATAACTCCTTTCCTGAATTGGCTGTAGAAATGACAAATTTATTTAACAGGTGGATAGAAGGTGAAAAGATAGCTGTATCTGGGTTTTTTTCTTCTTTTTTTTTTTTTTTTTAAATGATGAAATTATCTTGAGGAGCAGCTTCTAGAAGATGTTCTGAAGGATTTGGGAGCCCAGAAAATGCTTTTATTAAAATTTTCAGCCTATTAATCAAAGCAATGTTTTTATGACAAAAATAATGGGAATCCTACATACTTCCATAAAGACTTGCCCCTTCTTTCAGAAACAACAGAAACACGCAACAAAGTACACAACTCCCAGAATTTTATAAGCCACAATCTATTACTTCAAGAACATCATAACCTAAATCTCATCCTATTTCATATGCAGAGACCACAGGTATGCCATGGAGTGTGAGGGAGGAGATCAGCTCTCTGTAAAAAGAGTTTGATGGGAGCCAGTTCAGATGCAGTTTGTTAAAAGACCTTTAGTGGAAGTACTGACAGCAGCCTGTGTTTCCAGAGGTGGCTCCTTCCTCCTGGAAAGCATTACCCACAATTTATCCACATTCCAGCTTGAATTTCCATTTCAAACAAAGAAGGAAGGACTGGAAAGTGGCTGCAATAGGAGACAGATGGTTTTCTCTGCTTTCTGAAATATTTACTGCTTGTAATGAGTCTGTAAAATTCAACGTTGACTCAGCTACTGCATTCCCAAATTCCTTCCAGACTCTCGACTCAGTCTCCTCTGTGCCTGGCAGTGTCCTGCTGCTTCCTCTCACACTTTCCTCAGCACCTTTCCCACAGCTCCAGGGGCAGCACATCCCTTTTACCTGAGTTGTTTTGCACCAGGCTCTGCAGCCGAGGCTGGAATGAAGAAATTTGCTGTCCTCAATGTAATTTTCTATTGATCATTTATCCTTTCTCTTTTTAACTCACCCATTTTCTCATTTACTTCCTAATAGCCTTAACAGAATATCCATGATACTTTACCTATGACCATTTTATCTTCAAATTCCCCCTGAACCTGCCTGTGTGTACAGCCCCCTTACTGCCAGCATCATTCAGGCTTTTATTTAATTGGCTTTTAATTTTCTGGATAGGTCTTGGCATGGATAATTTCCTGCATTTTGAGGCAAGAAGAAAACTGTGTCTTTCCCCTTGAACTTCTGCTTCTCTTCTAATTCCTGTGTAAAAGTCCTGTATCGTCTCTAAGCATTTCAGTGGAAGAGTTACCACCACCTCCTCCCATCTAATTTCCCTTTTTCTAGAGATCACATCCAGCCAGGGCCTTCACTGAGGGGCTTCAGTGACATGAAGGGGAGCAGATTTTGGTCTAAAGGCATTTCTTGAACGTTTCCCTCCAGTTCCCACACTTGCATGTGCTATTTCCCATATGTGCTAGTGTGAAAAGAGCTCCTGTGGGTCTCTTTAGGGTGGCTGCTGCCATTATTTCTGTCACCTTTAACGGACTATTTGCCTAAAGACCCCAAAGTACTTCAGAGAGAAGTCAATGAGAGAGAATTCCAATGGTTACACTTGATAAACAGGGAAATGGAGGCACAAAGCAATTCACAAAGTCACACAGCTCAGAAAAGTCCCATGAATCTCTCATGCAAACACTTTATCTTTGATGCAGAACTTAATCTTGAATTCTCTCATCCTATCTCAGCCCTGAGAGAGAGAAAAAACCTTAAGAGAAACACTGCAAGCTCCTGGCCTGTCCAGCACAGTGGAGCTGTGCTGGCTCACAGGCTGCTCCTCATTGATCATTTACCCCTGGCTGAACAACTCCAAACTAAAGGAATTCTGCATTTGCACTTTGCTGAGCTCAGAGCAGCTTGCAGAACACATCCAGGAAAAGCACGTGCTGCATTTACAGCGAGGTTCAGGTGCTCCTGTGGTTTGGGGGTGAGCATTAGAGTTCCACGTAACAAATAGGGGGTTATTTTAATCTTCTAGAACTGCGTGAGATTCGGGTTTTAATTGACTTCTTCCCTCCTGAACTCATCTCATAAAGCGTGTTAGGTATATCTGCTGAGTAAATAGGAGACAATAATATGTTTAAATGTCTGTCTGGAGAGTTTCTGCTACCCAGAGCTGCAAATCGATACAGCTCAGAGAGACATCTCTTGTTAATATAACTTTTCCTTTCAGCATGCTTCCAACATGTTTAATATTTTTCGGTGTTATTTTGCTGGCACTGAAAGCCCAACCTGTGTCGCCAGATCCCTGAACTGGGACTCCAGGGATGTGTATTCCACTCTTGGAGCTGTTTTTAACATCTTGGACAAGTAAGTACAGCTCTCCAGGCTCTTATATCCATTCCCAGCCGTTCCCTTTTGGGCCTCGTTCCTGTAAAGATGTGTGCATATATTTGATTTTATAAACTGGGAAGCTGTTTAGCAACTGGGAGCAGTCCAGTGACTTGGAGTGTTAAATCCAGCACCTGAATCTTTGCAAGACACGGCTTTGAACTGTGCACTCTCAGATTGTGCTGGACTGGGATAATAAAATGTGACTCTTTCCAAGACAATCTACCTGTAGCACCACCCCCCCCCCAAAAAAAAGCCATTTCTGGTGCTCTTGTCTGGCCTCAAAGCCAGATTTCAGGCTTGGGGTTGAGTAGGGAGGAAGTTTCAGGTGAATTGCATCTGTCCCTGGGCTCTTAAAAATAGCCTGGATTTGCCCCTCTGGACTGAATATTGTCAGGCTGAAAATATACGTTGGAAAAACACTCTCCATTTCCTGCCCAAATCAGCCTATAAATAACCTGTGCAGCCCAAAGTGGCCCTGATCCCACCTCAGGAATAGCTGCTGTGCTGCAGCACTGACAACAACAAAGAGAGGGGAATTGGTTAAGTACTTTGGGGGTTAAAATCTGTGCCCTGCACAGTAAATTTTATGGCTGAGAGCGAGTCTTCTATAGTCCCATTTATTATTGCAAAAATGATTGGAGCTGGGGACCATGACACTATTACCTGTTACTGCAGATTTATTGAAAATTAGCAATTCCATTTATATCTATGAGATTTCAGGGATTATTCTGTTATAGACTGGAAAACCGATAGATTTATAACACTGGCGAATCCAGTTGTACCAACTAATAGAGCCAGTGAGAAAATTTAGAGGTTTGTACTCCTAAAGGAGTTAACCTTTGGATAAAGAAACATTTTTCAAGTAGCATCTGAGAAATTATTGGATTCATAAATTCTGGCTGCTGCAGCATGAAAAATATTCATTTCCTGGGGTTTATATTTTTGTTCAGAAAAGATACAGAAGGCAAAATTTCATCCAAAACCATTTTGCTCCACTCAGAGCCCTGCTCTAATTGCTGTTTTATCTTATGTTAAGCCCTTGGCATTTATTGGCAGGGTTTGCCTGGCTGACCCTTAGGAAATTTCCAAGGTATGAATCTCCTAAATTAATT